TAGTAACTTGTTGAAATTATGTAGTAAAATATAATAAATTGATTGTAACATGTGCAGTAGCATGTACAGTAACACATGGTAACATACGAAGAACTTATTTAAATAATTATATGGTAAAAAATGTAGTACACTTATAGTAACATGAACAGTAACATGTAGTAACATGCAGTAACTTGTCCTATATGTAATATATAGAGATTAATGAAATAGTCACTGCAATCAGTCACGTCTCGTACCTCCAACATTTCGGTTGACGGACAAAAATTTGAATCTCCCTAATAAAATAGACGACAATGCGTTAGTTATTAATTAATGCGTTAGTTATTTAATTATTAACTTTCAAATATTATTTACATCAGTCATTACGCAGAATTACGTTTTGTAAATACAGGCTAATTGTATGCAGCAGTGGATCATATATTAAATTCCCCGTTAAAATCTTGGGTATATGCTTGAAAGAGTCTTTATTACCCAACAAACTATTACATTATTTGAAGAGATTTTCCGTTGAAGTAAAAGCAGACAGTGTATGATGTAAGTTTCTTGATTATCTTTCTGTGCTATGATCTGTTATAAAGTAAACTCATAAATATTCAATATAACATGTAGAATCTGCCATGCTTTAAAGCTTTAATGAGAATTTATACACCGCTTCTCCAAATATCCCCGCGCGATTTTTGTCTTTAAATTTAGACAATCATGGAAATAATATCCGTAGACTTTTTTAAAACGCATCTTGCCTTACTATTTTGTAAAGCCATTTTATTTTTAGTTAATACAAACGTCCATGATCGCTAGAAATAGTAACTCCCCCCCTCCCCCTACCACAACGTTGGTTCAAACCATGGTTATTGGACCACAAACCAACATTGTAAACGGGGAGGGGGGGAAATTGGGAGATTTTTGCAAAGTCTACTAATTAATTTCCATGATTGTAGACAACATTAACTTTGTAAACGTCTCGAAGAAATAAATGTATTTTAAGACTGAATTTTTCTGTAAACTTCTGGTATAAAGCCCTCCTGTCTTGTCTAAACTGCTTTCTCTCTTCCAGTATAAGCCTCCTTATTGTTGCGTTTCCAACCCGCACGGATAACCTGCGCCGCCCGCGCAATGAATATCCTAATCTATCCGTATTTATCCACATTAGAAAATACAAATCTCGGATAAAAATTGTTGCTGGTGTTTCACCAGTCGTGCTGTTTGGTGTGTTTCTATATTTCATGAAGAATTTGGATAGTTTGGTCTACGTGGAGCCACGGTCTTCCTTCATTGAAGTCAAAGATTGTTTCATGGTTTGAATGAATCTTTCTGCTAAGCCGTTAGTGGCTGGATGATATGGTGCTGAAGTTACGTGTTTAACTCCGTTTTTCTTTAGAAATAGCTGAAATTCTTCTGCAGTGAATTGAAGGCCATTATCGCTAACCAGTTGTTCTGGTAACCCATTTCGAGCAAACACTGTTCGCAGGGCTTCGACAGTTTTAGAGGTGGTTGTTTTTGAGTGCATGATTATTACCTCTTGCCATTTTGAATGAACGTCAACAATCACTAAAAATATCATTGCAAGGAATGGTCTTGCAAAATCGACATGAATACGTTGCCAGGGGGTAGATGGCCGCTCGCATGGGTGTAATGGTGAGCATTTGGGGGCATATTGAACCAGCTGGCAACCACTGCATCGTTCCAATCTCCAAATCAATTCCTGGCCACCAAACGTAACTTCTAGCCAAAGCTTTCATTCTAACCACACAAACATGATTTCGTGTAATACTTGTAGTACTTCGCTTCGTAACTTTGTGGGAATGACAACTCTGCTCCCCCACATAATACATCCTTGGTTCATAGTTAGTTCGTTTCTTCGAGAATAAAAGGGTTGCAGATTGGGGTCTTTATTTTCATGCCAGCCTTTCATGACATGCTCATACACTTGGGCGAGGGTAGAATCTCGTTGCGTTGGTTTGCGTACTTGCTGCCAAGTGACAGGCAACATGCTGAACTGTGACACGCGAAATGCCTCAATCAGGTCAGCAGACTGATTTTCTTCATCTTCAGTTGTTGCTAGAGGTAAACGGGACAATCCATCTGCATTGCAATGCTGTGTTGAACTACGGTGTTCAATCTCGAAGTCAAACCCTGAAAGGAATAGTGCATATCGTTGGACTCGAGCAGCAGTCGTTGCTGGTATAGCCTTGGTTGGACTGAAAATTGCTGTCAATGATTTATGATCTGTTCGCAGGGTGAAATGTCGTGCAAATATGTAAGTATGGAATTTCTTCACACCCCATACTAAAGCCAATGCTTCCTTATCTATCTGAGAATAGTTTTTCAGTTTTGTAAGGGACCTTGAAGCATAAGCTATTGGTCATTCAGTATTATCACCCATGACTTGTGTTAAAGCTGCCCCCAACCCATACGGAGATGCATCGCATTCTAACTTGATTGGGCGTTGAGGGTCATAATGTGCAAGGACTTCCTCGGATGCAATTAACTCCTTTGCTTTCAGAAAAGCTTGCTCACATTCCAAGTTCCATTTCCACCGTCTGTCTTTTCCGAGCAACTGGTTTAGTGGTTGAAGTAAGGTAGAAAGGTTTGGAAGGAAATCGTGGTAATAATTAATAAGACGAACAAAGGAACGATCTTGGGAAACATTCTCAGGACGTGGTGCATTTATCACAGCATTCACTTTCTGTTGGGACTTGTGCAGACCCAGCTTGCTGATCTCATGACCACAGAACTCGATTCTTTCTTTGAAGAATTCGCACTTACTGATGTTGGCTCTGAGACCATGTTCACTAAGTCGACTGAGAACTTCTTCTAGGTTGTCAAGATGCTCTTGGTCGGTTGCACCAGATATGATCATGTCATCAAGGATACATTGCACATGGGGAATTCCTTCCAATGTCTGATCCAATAGCTTGTTGCAATAGCTTCTTGCTTTTTCCAATAGCTTCTATTCAATAGCTTGTTGCCACATTGCGGGGGCAGATGCTACACCAAATACAATCCAATTGTTTTGGAATAATCCTTTATGGGTATTAATTGTTAGGAATTTCTTTGACTCTTCTTCCATTTCCATCTGTAAATACGCCTGTCGCAGATCAATCTTGCTGAACTTTTGCCCACCGCCGAGGGAGGCGAAAATAGCATCAATCCTTGGGAGAGGGTATTGTTGAACGTGCAAGACTGAATTGATGGTTTGCTTGAAATCACCCCACAATTGAACATTGCCATTCTTCTTTATCACTGGAACAACCGAGGTTGGCCGTTCACTCGAATCAACTTTGGTCAAGATGCCATCATTCTGCAACTTGGTCAACTCAACCTCAACTTTTGGTCGCAGAGCATATGGTACTTGTCTTGCTTTGCAGGCTTTTTTCTTTCAGGTTTTCTTTCAGGTTTTCACTTTGGCTGGCTGTTTTCTTTCAGGTTCAGCTTTGCTTTGGTAGTCTTTACCAGACCAATATCTTCTTCGAAAACATCACCATACTTTTCGAGGATCTCTTGTAATCGGGTTGATGGATTTCCTGGTGGTGTGGTTGCCAATGTGTTGATTGCTTTCCAATCTAGTGTGATCTTTCATAGCCAGTATCGACCAAAAAGTGCAGGCCCCTTTGTTGCGACCACATACAAATTTAGCTTCTGTTCACAGGAAGTATTGTCTTGGCTTTCCCCCTCAACTCAAGTGAATCTTTCATGGCCGTTTCCATGGCAACCGCAAGTTTTAGCGCTTTCTCGAACGTAAGGCTGGTTTCGACAAGTAAACGTTTCCGAATAGATTCATTGTATAGTCCAAAACAAATCTGTCGCTTAACGAGTCATTTAACCCTGTACCAAACTCACAGTGTTCGGATAACTTCTTATTTCAGCCACATAATTATTAATATTTTCAATTCATCGTCTCTTTGATCCTGCTTATAAAATCTAAATCGTTCTGCGATCAGTAAGGGTTTGGGCGACAAATGTCCCTTGCCACTATTTGATCAAATGATTTTGTCGAAGCTTTATCAGAAGAAGTCAGTGTTCGCAATAAACTATACGTCTTACCTCCGATTACTATCAACAATACTGGAACTCTTTTATCATCGGCTCCATTGTTCGCAAGGAAATACTGTTCAATTCTTTCTATATATGCAGTCCAATCGTCGCGTGTTTCATAATCGAAACTAAATCCTTAATCAATTGTTTATAATACTCGTCGCCAATGTAGTGTTCTTCGATATTGATTGTGTTTTTAATATCATGTCCAAAACAACTGTCATGCCTCGTGGTGATGACCCCAAAGCATCATGGGTCATACACCACAGTAAGTGTGACATATCTAGCGTAAAACATTCGCGATACCTATCATTATTGACGGATTATAACCTCTCAAATAACCAATTGTCCTCTGCCATAATTTGTAAACACAAACAACGATTAAGAATGCTATATGACATAAAAAATTATATTCATATTCTGTTAATTATTAACTTTGAGAATGTTAATGAAACTTATTTGTTTTAAAATGTTATATTAGATCTTCTGTGAACGAATTGGAGCTGAAATACTTCGTTCGCCGAACATTCTATCCCCTGTACTTTTGAGATATACAATGATGTTATGGCATATGGGGCCCAGACAATCACTTTCAGAAGTTGTTGGGACACATGTAGTTTTAGATTGTAAGTGGATCATTACAGTTTTTTACACACAGTACCACTCCCCTCCCCCACCCCACCCCACCCCACCCCACCCGAATCAATGTTGCTTCAACTAAAACACATCAAACCTGACGAGAAATGTGACACAACGTTGAACAGGGGGCGGGAGGGACTGAATGTCATAGAATGCGGAAGTGGTGTCTCTTCTGATCAAAATCACATTCCCCCCCCCCCGCATCACAGAGGAGAAATAAGGTGACACTGACCCCTCGTCCTGTTTTTCAGGATGACTTTTCCAATTTATTTAATTCCAAGTAGAAATGTCTGGGAAAATTTATGTCTTCGATGTACTTTATAATCTTTGGAATTCTGCAAGATTTCACCCCCAAAATGCTTGAAATCGCATTTCAGGGACTCTAGAATTCAAAATGCCCCCGAACCCCCCTAGACGGTCTCACGCCTTCGGCGTTCGCTTCGCCCACCAAAAATTGAGGTCTGACTACGCCACTGCTAGCTACACATGACACAAACCGTAGGTTTCACATATTTCACGGCATGGTTTTCTTTCAAGACCTGGCTGTGAGTATGTACATCATCTAACTGCACCTACATAAGTACATATACTTAAATACTATAGGGAACCCAGTTTGCAATATTGCACGGCATGGTCTACTTTCCAGACCCTGTGAATATATAAGAAAACCATTTACTAAATGAGATACAGGAAAATTACACAACACAAAATCACAAGCGACTGTGCTGCTGGTTTTATCACCAATGCCCAATTTGCAAAATCGCGGCATGGTCAAATCCGATCCTGTGATAAATATGCATCATCAAATCACACCTATCCATTTACATACAGTACATGCTAGCTTCAATTACGATATTTCTCCAATGGATTGACATACAAAAGACACAAAATAGCGCGCGCATTATACGCGTGCACCTAATATACAATATTTCACGGCATGGTCCAATTTCCAGACCCGATTGAAAATATAAGAAACCATCAAATTAATAATGCTTATAAGTATAAACCACTAACCAAAGGTCCAAGACGCATGTAGAGGTTCTATTACCTATCCCAAAATTAAAATACTAAACTTTAAAGTTAATATTATTACTCCATTCAGGTTTGCTGGTTTTTCTTTCATTTCGCAGATCCACAAGAAGTCGTTTCATGAAGACATGGGTGGCTTTGATCATGTTCAGGAATTAATTTGGTGCAGTTCATGTGATTCGCTGTTTACGTTGGCGTGAATTTGACGATCGGTCGATAAGCGTCTTAGCACACCATTCAGTTGGATGTTTTCGTGAAACCGATCCTACAGTCTGTAGAGCTCCATTATCCCATGTGACCTATCGCTAACAGAAGTGTGGGCTGAAGTATACTTCAATTCTAAGTACTTCTGGAGTTTACCATCTTTTGCCAACGATGTTGTTGCGCGGAATGGAACCACTGTTCATTATATGGATTAAAAAGCTGGGTTCAATGTGGTTCACAAAAGTCGCCAAACGAGTTGGAATGTCAGAAATGTTTACTGTTGGTGGATGTCGTAACGATCTTAGTAAATCCTGAGGACCCTCGCTCTAACGACAAAGATAATTGTATAAAATAATGTTATGTGGACAGGCACCGGAACCAAATCGTCATTTTCATAATTTCACTAAGTAATCTCTCCAAAACACTACAAAGAGTGATTAATGAATACATGCCTGATCTCATCGAGATATGGAGACCACGCAATAATAAGGCATTCATACAAACATTTGTCATTTTCTCAGTGTATGTAGTTTTTTTAATTATTATTAAAAAAAGAAAAATACTTTAAAATAAAGTAGGTTAAGTGGGTTATTGAATTGCACACTGATTAACATCGAGTTTATATTCACGAAAAGTTTCCCTGATCTTTGTGAATAATTATATATAATGTTCTGGTACGGTGAGTTTTTTTCCTTAGGAACCCCACTGATTCGTGTTTGGTTAGACGAGAGCCTTGTTTGAACCCCCACTGAACCACGCAGTTTCTCCAGTTTATAATTTTACCTATAACCCACTCACCTCGGCGGCTCGTGACCACTTTTTGTATGTTATCATTTTAAAAATATATAAGATATTATTGTTCTTATTTTTTGTCAGGATCTGAATTGGCGACTAATTAATCCGTATTTTACGCCGGCTTCCGTGGGAAGGAGGCTGATTAGTGCTCTTTCCCATTCGTTAAATTTACCATATTTTTGGATGACATTTGAGTAATATCGACACAGGACTAGTGTATAAATAAAAAAAATACGAAGTTTTTCCTTGTGAATTACTGGCGACCTGCTACCTGAGGTGGCATCAATATATTGTATTATTATATTAGTAGGACACATTGAAAATGAACCCCATTTTACACGTGAAGTAAGAGCTCCACCATTAAATTTGCATTGAGAAGAAATTATCCAAAATTCTTAAAATTGTAAGGTAAATGTGCTCAATACAATTATTACTATCAATTCAATTCAAATTCGTGATTATGATTGAAAATTGAAGAAATAAATGTTGTCACTTTTCGTCAAGATCAAGGGAGACTAAATAGTCCCCCTTTCAATGGACAAGGAGCCTGTTCGGGCCCCCTTTCCGTTTTTGAATTGTTGCTGCATGCTTTCACACGGAGAAAAAGTAAGTAAAATTAATTAAATAAGAATGCTTCTAGTCTCGGTTATTGAATGAAATTGCCTAAATTTCAGAAAGATTGATAAAATACACCCTTTCGATAATTACGTCACAACCACACTGTTTTAAAACATCCTTCAACGCAAGCATGAAAAAGGATTCTTTATTTTGAGCAATAATTGCGGAAATAAGCTTTAACATGAAAACAAGGCTCCATGACCTGGAGCCTCGTTTTCGTGTTAATGCTCATTTCCATTTATTGATCAAAATCCAAAATTTGTTTTCCGCGCATGTGTTGAAGAAGGATGTTCTGTTTCTCTTTGCATAGCCCATGAGAAAAAAGCTTGAAATCCTTTCCATTTAAGATGGTCCTAAGTTGAAAACAGTGTAGTTGTGACGTAATTATCGAAAGGGTGTATTGAACAATCTCTGCCTATTCGGGTCATGCAGATACTAGTGCTTGACGCGAAAATTGACAAGACTTATATAACCATCAGATTTCATCCATTCTATCTAAAGTTTAAATACGTTTCTAGTCTTGATAATTAGGTAATATTTCCTAAATTTCAGAAAGATTGATAAAATACAACCATCTCTATCTCGTCATGAGCTCCACCTTTGAATTTACTATATGAGTAAATTGTTAAACACGTCCGAATTCATCATGATAAATTCGCGGCACCTAACACTAACCCCAACCCTAACCTCAACCATAACCCTAAACTAACTTTTTTCAACTTTTTTGAAAATCTAACTTTTTAAACTTTTTTTCACTTTTTCAACCTTTTTTAAACTTTTTTTAAACTTTTTTCTGAAAATCTAGATAGTCTCCCCACATCCGCGCGACCAGCCTCCCCTTTAGTGCCATTACATTTATAACAAAAACTCTTGTCTGATGCTTGTGGTTTTATGATTTACTCCATTAATAAATTCAAAATGTGCCGCGAATTTATCATAATGATAAATTCGGACGTGTTTAACAATTTACTCATATAGTAAATTCAAAGGTGGAGCTCAGTGTTACTCTATCTATATGCCATTATCAATGGGGACTAATTAGTCCCCCTTTAGTATAAACGAAGCCTGATCAGGCCCCCCTTCTATTTTTGAATTGTTGCCACTGCATGCCACACGGAGAAAATAAGTAAAATTGACTGAATGACTCAAGTACGCTTCTAGTCTCAATTATCCAATAAAATTGCCTAAATTTCAGAAGGATTAATAAAATACGACCATCTTTATCTACATGCCATTATCAATAGGGACTAATTAGTCCCCCTTTAGTGGAAAGGGAGCCTAATCAGGCCCCCTTAGCTTCCCATTTTTGAATTGTTGCTGCTGCCAAACGGAGAAAAATAAGTAAAAACCAGAAAATATCAAACAAGGGGAGTTAGGTAACATCGAGTTGGATTTGAGTTCGAGTTCGAGTTGGGCTTCGAGTTGGACTTCGAGTTAAACTTTGTATTTCACCCAACCTTTTTTGCTGCGGAGCGAGCGAGCCTGAACCAAATTTACACTTATTATATGGGGGAATTGTATCTTAAACCATTGTTTACTGCAGCTGTAGGCCTTGTGGTCGTGCGCGATCGGAAATGCTCAGTAACCTTTTTGTCTGTTGTGCTTCCACAACACCTTGTGGAAATTTTGAGTTGCAGATTTTCTACAAGTTACAGATAATGCACAGCACACTCCCTACCTCCTCCGCAAGCCATACAGCCCGTAATGAGTATGCCCGTTCGCATGTTGAAATTTGAAATTTGACAAGAAGGCTGCGGAGGAGGTAGGCACACTCCCTATATCAGGGTTTTCAGTGACTGGTTATATTAGGAGCGGAACTGGCGTGAAGCAGACCGAGGTAGACTTGAGCTTACAGATGGCGCTTTAAGCAGCCGCTATTAGTCCGTACCTCATTAATGATCTGCCCCCTGACCTGACATGGTTTCCGCACAATTTTTAAATGTTATAACAAATCTTTTTACTGAGATAACTTTTTCATATCATGTACTTCATTGTTTGTATTCTTAATTCGACACAAAAGCACTCGTACCCTAATTTATTTTATAGTAAACAGTGCCGGACACCAAAAAATACACAGTGAGATATTTTTCATAACTAGATCTTCACTAGTGAAAATATCGATTAAGTGTTCATTTTCTTTGTTATTTTTACTAACGACTATATATTAAAAAGAATATTAAATACACGGTGGCTTGAAGTTTCATATCTTATTATTTATCTTCTCGTGGTGAAAACTGAAAACAATATTTTTTACTCACTCAAAAATTAAAATTTATATCTTCGCACCGCCGTTAGTTTGCGACTCAGAAGCCCCCTCCCCCCGGCCCCCCTCCCCCACTAGAGCTGCGGAGAAACAGCAGACTAATATCAGAGGCAGAGCGTAAGAAGGGCTCTGGGTGCGAGAATGAGGCAATGCTGATCAGTCTGCTATCGCACACTACACCCTGTCTCCGTACCCAGGCGTTTCTTTGTAAAAAAAACAGCGATGCGCATATGATGAGTTCACATGAAGTATTGTAATACACCACCGTCTAGCATCCTCTATACAGTACTCTCCTTGACCTTTCAAGACTAATAATGCAACATATTCTCACACGTAGTATTAGGGAGGCTGGACGCGCAGGGGCGGGAATATTAAAAAAGGTAATCATTTTTAGATTGGGATTAGATTAGAGCCAGATTAAGATTAAACCAGGGTTAGGGTGAGAGGTTAGAGTGGGGGTTGGGTGGGGGTTAGGGTTCTACTTAATATAAGGCATTTCCTTAATCTTTCGCAAATTTAACAATTAAGGATAATCCCTATTAATACCACGTGTGAGGATATGCAGAATAGTACTGATAGTTTCGAATGCATATTTTGAACGAAACAATACTTAAAATGTACAAATTTTAATATATTCTTTTCCAAAATATACATAGTAATTACTGTTATATTAAGATGTACAACAAAGTTCATTATAAAAACGATTTATAATAAAGTAAATTTACATTGCTACGTTTCATTCCCATGCATATTTATAAACGTAATAACACGTGTTTGAAGTTGCGAAGAAGCAAACATGAATCGGAGTTGTTCGGAAATGCCGGTATATAAATAACTCGAAGTCTAACGCGAAGTCCAACTCGAACTCGAACTCGAATCCAACTCAATGTTTCGGGATTCCCTCAAACAAGTATAGTCAATTATTGAATAAAATTGCCCGGCTAAATTTCAGGAACATTGATAAAATACAACAATCTCTAGCTGCCTATTTGGGTAATGCAGATGTTGGCGCTCTGTATCATCCTATAGAATGCTTGACGGCAAAATTGACCGAATTTACATAACCACCAGCTTTCATCGATCAATCTAAAATTTAAATGTGTCTCTTTATACGGTTACTAGGTAATATTTACTGAATTTGAGAAAGATTAATTTAACACAACTTCAAACACTCATTAATAATTTATAAGCTTATTGGCAAATCATGTCAACCATAATATGTCACGTGCAGTGGCTTTAAACCTGATCAAACACTCCTAATTAGTATTCTTTAAATAAAGAATACTAATAACTGTAATAAGGCTGTATCTATTGTAGTCGTGCCCTCATTAGTATTCTTTATATAAAAAGTACTAATAAGGCAGTATTTCTATTGAATTTGTAGTCGTGTTTGAAGCCGTTTAATAAACTCGCAGGTCGTGTTTTATTAGGTCTAAAGCCACTCGCGCGCTTTAAACCTAATAAAACACTCCTGCTCGTTCAGTGTTAAACAGTACTTAATCTCTGCATAATTCCGCTCAGCCGGATGCTGGCGTTGTATTATATATATAGGAGTAGGGCTTGACTCAATATTGACCAGATTTACACAACCATCAGCTTTTATCGAATCAGTCTAAAATTTAAATATGTTTCTTTACTCAGGGACTGAGCCGATACCAGAAAAAAGCCGACTCGCCGATCCGATATATCGGAGCCGATATAAAAAAATAATCGACCGATTAATCGGCTATGGCCGATATTTCTGCGTACCGGGGTACAAGCGCCGGATAACGGTTTTTTGACAACTTTTAATACTTGTGTATACGCCACCAATTGACGTACTAGTTTT